ATAGGCTTAAGTAAATAAATCAGTTAATTATTGAGCATGATATATACGATATTTTGTAGGTGTATGCGATAATTGTTTATTTTGCAAGTCTATGCAGTTAATTTCAAATTTTTATTTTGAAAGATTAAACATAACCTAAATTTTTAGGATGTTCCAATCCGTTTCATTTTGAATTGAAAATTATTACTATCTGACTCTGTTTTATATTTTGAAAAAAAAAATCGAACTAAAGAATTTGATAGCCAAATGATAAGAGATTTTTAAATTTTAATTTTCAATTTAATATTGGGCCCGATTTCTATGAAATCCAGTTTTTTTTAATAAACATGATCTGTTGCAATTAGGTAAACATACATGTTAAATATTTTTCTAATTCAAAATTCTCGATTTTATGGTAAAATTTTTTATTAAAAAATGAGAAAATTTTTCACTTTTACAAAATTGTCATGCCGAATTTTACATAATTTAACCCGATGTCTATGCAATTCGATTTTTTAATAAACAGTTAATTTATTGCAATTAGTAAAAAATATATGTGATAGTATATTACCTAATTCGAAATTCTCGATTTTATGGTAGTCAGATTTTTTTTTAAATAAAAAATTGAGAAAGAATTTTGACTTTTGCAAAATTGTAAGCATAAGTCGAAATTTATCTGAATTAAATCTACAAAAATAAATTTAGGGTGAATATATAGCTAATTAATTTTTTAGAAATAATTAAAAAATAAATAAAAACTGTAAAAATTAGAATGCAATAAATGCTGGTTGACTTTTCTTGTTACTATTTTTTGGTAAATAAGTTGTATTTTTATATAGAAATATAGATGCTTACTAGTACAATGCTCATGTACTAGTGTTCTATAAAAAAATTAATTATCCAACAAACGTGAAAAAAAAAATCTTATCGTGAATTAAAAAGACTATAAATATAACTAATAAGAATTTTTTTTTTAGGATTATTTCGAATAATATAAAATATTTTTGTATATATATTTCAAATTTAAATAGATTAATTAATTTATTCGACAGTTAATAATGCCCGTGAATATCACGGGCGCTTGAAAATTAAATACTTGTATGAAAACGTGAAGAAATATGTATTCTTATAATAGAATAATAATAAATTAAATATACAACTAATAACTAAAAAATAACAAAAACTATTATTTAAAATACTGCTCTTATTTTATACTCAATTTATTAAAATGATAATTTTCTTAACCACACACATATATATACATATATATATATATAATTCTATATTTTTTTAAATTTGAATTAATTTATTTTTTTCAAGTTTGATTATATTGTAATTATACTTCACATTTATATAATTTTTCTCCATGATTTAATTTTATAAAATATATTCATCTGTATACTATAATTAATTTAAACTTTACCTTGCATGAGTGCAATATTTTAAACCCTATGAAATAAAAAAAAAAATTATAATTGTAGTTATAATTTTTTTACTTTTATTTTTCACGATCATAATGTTTTGTGTAGCCTTTATTTAAGTTGAGACATTAACTTTTAGAATATTTCTTTTATACTACTTTGATTTTCATACTTTGTTTATTTATTTTTTGTAAATAAAATAACTATAATATGGTATGTTAATACAAATAAATTATTGCTTTATAAGCTAAATATACTTTTATTTGATATATTTTAACCTTGTTTGATAAATAATTTTTGGTTTTTCTTATAAGGTCATATATCACTATTTTATATTTTGTATATATAATATGGATTTCAAATTGAAATTTGTTAAAAGATAAATAATTTGATATATTATATAAAAATAAAATACAAAACAAAATATTTATGAAATTTAACATATGCTAATGTAGGAAAAGGAAACTTTAGTTTATGGTAAGCAATTGTAGTATAAAAGAAAAAGATATCAATTAGGATTTAATATGAATGATATGGAAAGAGAAATTCAATACATAGTTACAAAAGATTGGAATTCTCGACGATCCCCTTTTTCTCTCAATTCTCGGCGAAACCCTCCTCCGCTTTTTCCAAATTTTGGCTAATTTGCCTTTTTCGGTGACGGCATAGTCTCGGCTAGGGGTCATAGATGACCGTCCCGACCTTCCTCGACATCGCGCGTCTCTGATACTCTTTGGATGGGCTGCGTTTGAAGCTCCGGATTTCGGTTGCAGGGAGGGTTTCGGGTGGCAGTTTACCGGCGATGCTCCGATTTGGAGTGATGGATCGAACCTCTGGTCGGGCGTCTGTGGAGTTGGCGGGCGGCGCGTTTGTCTATGGGTGGTCGAGACTCCCGCGGCTGCGGCGTGATGGTTGCGGTGGTTGGGGTGAGGGCCATCTCCTCTTGCTCTATCCTCCGTTTGCCTAGTGGTGTTAGGCGGCGGGGTGGTTCTTCCGATCTCGTCTAGTGATGTTAGAAGAGTTAGGAGAATCGGAGTGGGATGGATTTTCGCTCTCTCGGTCTTCGATGGGTCGATTCGGGGACTGGTTTGGAGTTAGGTTCTGCTGCTGTATAGGCTTGATTGCAGTTTCGGTAGTAGACTCTTGGTCTGGATTGGTCTTGTGTTGATCGTTCACTGTTGGTTCGGGCTAGCTCGTTTCGCTGGAGGAGGGCTGTTAGATTTAATTTAGTTTTTTTTAGTTTCTTTAGTGTGTCTTGAGTGTGTTTGTGATGTTATTGGTCTTGTTTTTTTGGTTTGGGCCGTTTGGCCTCAGTGAAACCGACTGCGTGCGGGTTTGTTAATGTGTTGGTTGTCCTATGTTGTTTAGGTTTGTGTTTTTAGTTTGGGCCATTTGCCCCTGTGAGCCTGCGGGCAATACTCCGTCGGAGGTCGTTCCACATTACTCCATTTGGGGTTGTTCCACATCGCCCCGCTGGGGTCGTCTTCGTTAGGTATTTGTGCTATGTTGTTTTGAGTTTGTTTTCTAGCGTTGCTAGCCGGGTTCTAGGCGGTCTTGACCTAACCTCCCAGTTTTTAGTCGTTGGTTGTACTATTTAGCTTTGGGTTGTGTTCTTTGCACATTTGTGCGTTTTTTTATTTATAAGATCTCTATCATTTCGAACAAAAAAAAGAAAGAGAAATCCCAATCTACTTATTTTATAAAAAAAATATGAATTTATATCCAAGCCTAACTCTGAAGCATGATTTTTGCCACGTAGGATTCCGAAACGTGAAAGCATGCCACTTAGGCTCAACGCATTCTGCAATTATGTATAGAGTGGCTATTATTATGGGAGAATATCCTACGATAATTTCGTAAATTTGGTATTTTGTAGTTTTAAAGGAGTTTTTAAATTCATACATGTATTAATCTCCATATTTTATATTATCCAGAATACATTTTATATCATTCTTTATTATTATAAATCTAATTCATAAAATAGAGTATATATCTCACTCAGAAGTCGAAATATTTTTAGGAAATAAAATCGACTGGGTGATAGGTAGATTTCCATCTAGAATGGGTAATGCTGCAAAAGTGGCAGTTATTGCAGTAGAAGTTTTCTGTATATAGAATTATTTGGTTTTGAGTAATTATCTTTGCGTACCAAGTTTTATAAATAATTCAGTTTTAGTTTCTAAATTTTGTATGAATATAATGTATTGTTTGATGGCAAGTGTGCTGTCTAGAAAATGAAACGTTTATTCATTTGGTACGTGGGTAGATAATTAGTTGACTCAAGTAACCAAAAACGTCTCACGGTGCAATAAATGAAAATTAGTGACACATCGACTAAAACCAATAAGAGATGAGGTCTCTTGGGCAAATAAATGTGAAAAGTTGTGTACTAACAAGAATTCTTATATAAAATTAATCAAGAACCAAGCAATATAGTTAACAAAATCCGATAACTTTGGTAAGACAATTTCAATCATTATCTTCAAGATCTTGTAGTATTGTGAAAATTGTGAACATATAAAATCGCACAGAATCTACTTATATTGGTTAATAAAATTCGAACTAATTTTGCTATGAGAGATTAATTACTTAAATTTAATATTAACGCGTGGGATATAGTTAACAAAATCCGATAACTTTGGTAAGGCAATTTCAATCATTATCTTCAAGATCTTGTAGTAGTATGAAAATTGTGAACATATAAAATCAAACAGAATCCGCTGACATTGGTTAAGATTAGGGCTGGTATTTTTTGACCGAAAATCGAAAACCGAACTGATGTGCTAAAAAACCGAA